ACGACAAAAGAAATCCCTCGGGAGAGATCAAAGGCAAAGCAAATTAGTGATAAAAATAATAAGTCAGTAAACTGGAAACTGCATTAGTAAATTGAAGGACAGCCGAAAAGGGAGAAGAATACCTTTAAAGGACAAACACAAAATGTTGCTGGCTTTGTTAATATTGTGAGCTGTGGACCAGGCTGCTTCTCACTGCGGAGATCTCGGTTGGTCCCCAGGGCGGTCCTTGAGGGATTTGTCGTGGTCAAAGTTGCATCGGGAAACGTTTTGCTCCGAGTAATTCGGTTCTCACCTGTCAGTATAATTCCACCCCTGCTCCGTATCCACTCATGTATCATCTGGGGGATGGTCAGGGGGTCGGTTAGCCAGTCTCACCCCATCGCAAAAATAAATGAATGCATACAGGGACCTTGAATGGAGAACAGGTAGACCTTCATCTCGTCCTGTGGACTTTTCGTTATAAATTTTCCGTACAAGGCTTTATTTAACTTTGTAAAGTCTAGTGGTAACTATATGTACCACCTCTTTTAAAAATCAGTAATACTGTATTTTGTATAAATGGATTTCGTATGATTCTCAGAATAAACAGCGATTATTTCCTTAAACAGCGTTAAAAAGTTGATCTTTGTAATGGACAAGAGCTGTGTTTTCTTCGCGGTACGGACTAAATGTTTATATATTATGTACGCAGTGCGTGTCTCATTACGCTCGCCTCTAAATTATGTATTAGACTTCCAAATTAATAGTCTCAGCTTTCTCTAATACAAAATTTCAAAATTCCGTCTTTTATGCCAATCATCACACTAACGCCTTCACTCTTACTTATATGAGCCTCGTTATAAACTGCGATTAGTTTCTTAAACAGCGTTAACGATTTGATCTTTGTAATGGTGAAGAGTTGTGTTTTCTTCGCGGTACGGACTCTCTGTTTAAATATTACGTACGTAGCGCGTGTCTCATTATAAACAGCGATTATTTCCTTAAACAGCGTTAACGATTTGATCTTTGTAATGGTGAAGTGTTGTGTTTTCTTCGCGGTACGGACTGAAATCTTAAATGTTATTTAGACGAACTTCGGTTTCAAAGGGTTAATACAAAAATCGTATACAAACAGACACTGAAAACAATGTTTTGAAGACCTTAAAA